TTGCGATCCGCTAGCTCATACCTGGTTCTTGTAAAGAACGAAAAGTCGGTGACCTAAAGCACGCACCTCAAGCGTAAAAAGGGTATACAAACAAATAACTTTTCAACCACTTTTTCCGCTATAGAGCAGCGACCCGTTTCTGGCCGATCGGTCCAATCGGTGCCGAATTCAAAAAATGGCTCTTGTCACTATGGGACCCCTCGGAGAGCGTCAAGATCACAAGAGCCAGCACCGCATGGGTCGTCTCTGTTCATTGAACATCAGAAGGCCGATGTGGATCCAATAGTAGTCATCAGGGGTGTAACCAGTCTTGAGATTTTAGCGCTGCTTCGAGTTGTGTACCGATAATGCTTTGGGACCTGTGAATCGTTAATGAGTAGATACCTGATATATTATTGTCATCATGTCCAACCAATTATCGAAATATCCAAGTATATCAAAGGCATGTGTTGAATATATATGAACGCCGCGGTTCAGAAGTACCAATCAAGGTTGATTGCGTTTTGACATATTCCATGGGCCGAAGATATGCAACATCATGCCTTGATTACCGTGAAGATTGCGTGATATGCCGCCTAAAATATCGCACATGTTGGTGTTGCAGTGGAAGCGTGTGCTCTTGACGTTTCTGGAGATATGCGCGCATTTTGATAGCGCTGTCACGACCAGTGCAATTGTTGGTTCGAATTCCTTTAGAGGTAAAGAACTCACACGCATTCACCTGACGGTGCGTTGCTCCTGATCTCGAATGATGGACGAGTGAGATGAGCTTATTTGTGAGCGGGATTTAAAGCGAATTGTCTCCATCACGATTCGGTTGTCAATGGATAATTGTGTGATGGCCACCCCAACCTGAATCAGCGTATCGTTGTTTAACGAATGATCTGGTTGCTGACAAAGCAAGTGATGTTGCGACGTATAACCTCACCGGAATACCGAGAAACCTTTAGTTGTTCCGTCGTTTAATCCAGCAAGTCTGCAAATTTCACGAGAATCTGCTTGATCTTTTCCGTTACTCTCATGGGCATATCTGAATCTTCTCGTGCCCCAGCATCCAAAAGTGACTCTAATAGTCCCCACAGTTCATACTTCCTGTACATGTGTGTCTGCAGATAAAGTTGCGAGCCCAAAACCTGTTCCAGGAGTACTAAATAGTGGAGTCGTACAATATCCTCCTGCGCCAGATCAGTGCACTCTCGGATTACGAGGTCAATTAGTATTTTAAAGTCATTCACAAATACTAAATCCGCAGCGGTCTCATCTGCCAGAATATCCCCAAACAACTGTAATACATCAAAACGCGAACTTAAACACGTTCTCAGTTGATAAGCCAGATTTCATTTGCTAATTCATACCTGCAGCGTGTTACACAGATGCACAATCCTCTCTAACGGACACGGACATCCACACGAATTGATGACGTGCAGCAATGCTCCGCTTAAATGCTCCGTACCTTCCTTCATATCTCTCAGAACATTCATAACCAGCACAGAGCGTCCACACTTTTTTTCATGATCGTGAAAGAGCCCCAAACACACTGTTGTCGCTGCAAAGACTTGAGTGGAACAGGCCGACAATATCCGTAGCATCTTGGTCAGCATACCTACGTACATGGCTCTACAAAAGACGTAGGCGCAAACGTCACTGTGTGTGGCCAGCATCACCCTCTCAACAAATTCAAGCCACGTAAAAAGCTGCTCAGCCTGTTTGGAATTCGTAGCGTCAAGCTCTTCCATCGCCTGGCACGTGGAGCTCACGATCGCACGAAGTTTATGTGTCTCTTTCGTATTTATCTTGACGATATCATTCGAATTTGATTCCTGCATGTTGCAGCACATATTAAGCAGTTCCGCAGCGCGAATGCGTAGCCATAGTGGAGCGAAAACTACATCGAGTATCAAAGACCACAATTCGCGTGACAACTGAGTGTACGGCGGATCACAGTCTTCTGCATTATAATCAGCTTCATTAGCGATGAAGTTGTTAGCATCAGGTATGCACAGCCGACGCTCGATGCGCGCAAGAAGCTCCAAATTTTCGCTTTGATCTTTAGGTGAGTTCTCGATGCTACGAAGGCCCATTGTTGCAGACTGATCTCAGAAACCATATGACCTCTTGATAGAAATATTGTCGAAGCGGTACTCCTAATATGCCATGTTTATCTAAAGCCGGTATGGATTGCTGCCAGTTACACTGCACTTTTATATTCTTATGTGGAGAGATATTGATTTCTATACCACTCGATGAGCTGTGCAAGTAACTCAAAAGCGCTATGCGTATTGCTGGGATTTCAGCAGGAGATTCGTGAGTTCATTGGAAATGCAGAACAGTGCAACTTGTCCAGCGCATCGCGTTGGTTATATTGGTCGACTCAAAACATCAAACACAAAGTTTTGTGGCCGAAAAATGAGGAATTTGACAATTTATCGAAGCGTCTCTATAGTCGACTGCGAGGGACAAATGGAGATGACAGGATATACAGGAAGAGGACTAGAACAAAATTAAGTCTGGCTCATGTGCGCTCTCTTCTTCTCGATGTGTTATGTGTGATTAGCGGACTACGACCGTCGTGTCTAGTGGACTGCTGCACACTAACAAAGGAGCTGGTGAAACTTTTGCTTGACTTCTTTGCCGACGAAGACGATAAGCGTTTTTTTTACGGTGAAGTCGGTCACATTCGTGCGGTAATGCTTGATGGTAACGTCTTTTTTGTGAACGTGGGAGCTTTTGTCCGCGAACAAATGGTCTCGGGATTGCATATCGACATTATAGACGTTAGTCCCAACTTGACCCGACCCAGACGCCTGAGCCAGACTTCCAGAACCGACACTTTGAGGCTGAAGGCGTTCGCAGACGGAACCTTAAGCTTTTGCAAGCAGCTGTTGTCGTCAACTTCTCAAGTGCTGGAGTGGACTCGACCACTTCATTTTAATCCAACAGCATTAGCCGGCTTGTTGCTGTGCTATCCATGCGTGTACGACATGTCAGGGAGCAGTAATGAGACTTTTGAAGGGTGGCACAAGCAGGACAACTGCTTGGCCATGTGTCCACTTTATATGCTGCAAATGGTGGTGCTGTTGTACGTGTCGTATTCTTCTGCCACAAATGTTGCCTGCTTCTTAACGTTTCCAATATTCGGCTTGCAGGTCCGAACAAGAGCACAAAGAAATCGTGCTGTACAAGTTTTCGGTACCGCAGCACTTGATTAACGACCGTTACGACGGAAAACAGGAACAAAACCCTCATTTCTCCTCTTTGAATCTACTTCGAGCGCGTTGCTTGATACAGCTGCAACGATCTATCGATCAGAGCTGCTTAGCTCCCACCCTTCAGGCTCACGTACGTGTTGACACCTGTACGCTGCTACATGTCGTACTGTAGGCTTGATAGTACAATTTCTGAGGTGGTCACATCATATTAGTGTAACACTCTACACGATGCGCTAAGTCCATTTCGGCCCAGTTTGTAACAGTCGAAATGGGCGCATCGATCTCCAAACAGCGTCGGCTCTATCGTCCGTGTATGTAGCTTCCTCTTTGATAAGTTATACTGAAAGAAAGGCGATATCAGTGGCATGTACTCTGACCAGTGAGTATTTGTTAACACTACTTGACTACGCAGTCAACGCTGGGGAGTTTACTGTTGCGTGGCTCACGTTTAAGGTAATTGATCATGATGCACCAGCGTAAAAGATATCTGGATGTGTATTTTGAGTTCATAATGTGCAAATTTACACAGGGAGACGCTGTTGAGGATGAAGAGCAGCGCTCGATGGCGAAAAAAGAGGGACTATTGTCTTCCAAGCTGCTACGTGGACTCTTTGGTGGTAGGTCATCAGCTAGAAGGGCAGTCGAAAGACATTCAAGTTGATAATTTACATTAATGTCCTTTATTCTAGATATGACGATGCAGTGCTTAGAGAAGATGCCTGGAACCACCATTTCGAAGGAGGCATTCGTTTGCATCTTAGCTTTGTTCTATGAGTACGTAAGAGATTTGATGGGAAAAAGTATGAAGTTAAGCTAATTTTTGGACAGAGGCAATACGGAGGATCGAATTAGTTACATTTTCACCATGTACAAAATCATATTGTCAGGGGAAAAGTACGTATGGCTGGCTAGAAAGACAGCATGAGGCTGCTTATGTAACTGAGTGAGAGTTCTGCTTGTTGCTAACAGCAAGAAAGGAGAGGGGTTTATTGCAGAAAAGGACTATCTATACCTTTTGAATTACCTTGAAGAATATATGCCTTTGCCTAAACAGCTTTACGCTGCTTTTGAGGAATGTATGATTCCCATGGCGGGAGTGATGTCAAATTCGCAATTTATTACGTGGGTTCGTCGATATCCAGACGTTATGGAGGTGAGATTTTTTTTGGTAGTGCATTTGTTGCCGTCTCAGCTTCTTACCCTCGTCATATGATTTAGTTTCTTGCTATCCATCTACCACCGTCTCCACTGCAGGGAAGTCCGACCAGCATGAGTCGTGCGTTAAACAGCGAGGAATTTCTGGCCAATTCGTAAGCTATCATTATATTTAAAGTTTGACATTTGTCATTTTTCATTCAGAAAATCTGTGTCTATCAGCGATCTTTTGAACAACAGTCCATCTTGCCAAAACGACCCAAGCCGCAACCCATTCCATAGTTCGTTTGACTTTATTGGTGGCGAAGATAGCGGCGACGAAGACTCGGATGGAGTTTATGACTCGGATAATCTTACAGAGGCGGAGATGTCGCAAAGCTCTTATCGAGAAAATAGTACTTCGATTGATGGAAATGACGAATTGTCAAGCATTTTAACAGAGGTTGGCGCTGTTGTCAAGGATGATAGTACGCAGCGCACGGGTGCCGTTAGTCGAAATCGACAACGAACAGATTCAGCGCCGGCACCGTCATCTGCTCGAGTACCTCATGACTCTGCACCATCATCACGACGGGCTTCAAATCGTTCTGGCGTCTCACGCACGCGCGGGGTTCAAAAAATGGGGAGATACATGGGCAAAGCTGTTGGTGGCGGAATATCACGAGTCGGTCACGTAGGCCGGAGTATCTTGCACGTAGGAAAGTCTCAAGGCAACAAACACCAGACTGGAGATCTTCAGAATGATGATCCAGCAGCGGGCGAGCTTTTGTCGGCCGGTTACTCCTTTTCCTCTGAGTCCCGAAGTACGAAAAAGTATGTGTGCGGTTACTTACACAAGGTCAGTGACAGTAAATGGGGAAAAAAGCGATCATGGCATCGCCGATGGTTTGTTCTCGATCGTCAGCGTGGCATCCTTTCATATTATCGACACAATCCGGCCAACCACATCCCGACCTCTTCATCTCATGGCAACATTGTGCACATGGCGGATTCCCCTGTTCCCGTGGGCAAAGGTTTGGCTAGCCACCGATCTGATGGACATTTATTCGAATTACCTATGCAGCCAATTTCGTCTGGAAGCATGTCAGGAGAGACAGGCAACAGCAATGCTAGACGCTTAAGTGACTCCAATGTAGAAGCGGAAGACGCAGAAGCTGTTGTTCGGAGTAATACAACGACCGAGAAATCAATTGATTCTGGAAAATACGAGCAGGAGCAAACACCAGAGCAGCAACAGACTTTATTGTATTTAAATGAAACTCACTACTGGTATCGCGGTGCTTTGGATCTAAATATGGATAGTGTATCGCTGCTGTTCGAAAAAACATTAGCGAGAAATGCACCGACACGGTATTTTTTTCAAGTCTCCACACTGGCGCTACAAGATATCGACTCAAAACGTGGTGTTCAGTACAAGGTACGAAAATTCTGAAATACGTCTAATTTTTTGAGATTAATGACGTGCTTGCAGTTATGTGCTGACTCGGAGACAGATTTTGATCTCTGGACGTTGGCGATAGCCGAGGTCATTAATCGGAAGGCCTCGCTTAATGAGAACGCCAGTACTGGTGGACCAGTGCTTTCTCACCAACAACGATACCGACAGCGTCTTGTCCAAAAGCATGTTGAAGCACAAGCAGCTTCTCAATCGGATTGTGTAGCAGCTGCTGACAGTGGGCACGATTCATCACCGTTAAGTCGTGGACGAGTTGCATCAGAACAAGTTAAAGAGGAAGAGCAGAAGCATCACGCAGTGAGTGATGCCTATTCGACATCACAGCCGAAGCGAAAGATTCCGCCGCGTATTGTGACGCAGTTCTCGTCTGGATCGGATGTTGGATCGTCGGAGGCTTCTTGCTGGCATTTTAACTTGAAGGTTGATGGAACCAAACAGTGCCTTATTTTTGGGTTTATGCTTAATATGGTGGCTATCCGCTGTCTCGCGAGTGAACATGTTCTGTGGAAAGTATTTGTATGTATTGTTGTGTCAGGATTGTATGTCGCCAATATTTACAATCCGAGACAAGGACATCGCGGAAGCCTGGGTAGATCCATTTCAGACTTGGGCATTGATAAAGCACTGCATGGGACAGACGTTGTAGAGTGCAACAATCCAGATAATTGCTGCTTGCACAAGACTTCGAATATATTAGGATCAGACGGTGGCGAAAATGAGGGTGTCCAGGCAGAGGGAGTAGGTGACAAGCCATCACGGCGCTCAAATACGCGTCGGCTCGTCAAATTTCCAATGGGCAGTACCATGAATCACTGTGAACGGCAATCAAGCGGGCGGTCGAGCAACGTGGAACACTCATGGACTACGACACGAGGTGAATTATTTTATGTTCGAAGCGCTGACTACAAAAAGTCGCGGAAGAAAGAGGTCAAGTACTGCTGCATCTCATATGTGTCTTTATTTTGAGCTGATTAGACATGTATCTACTTGTAGCCCTCAAAACCTGCACTCTTCGACTTTATTGGCGCTGACCTCGTTCGAACCGAGAGCAAAGTGGATCCTATTTCCCAGCGCGTCGTGTTTCCGGACGAGCACGAGAACAGTCGACTTTTTGTGATAAACGCGCAGGTATTACAATCTTTTTGTATTGTGAATCTATAAAATTTGAAGTGAAGTCTTTTGCGATAGCTTCCAGCTTACGGCCCGAGTGTGTGGGGAGATAGCTCATACGATGGTCCAGGCTACACTTTGGCTCTTTACTGGAGGATTCCAGACAGCATCGTTGAGGTGATGGTTCGCGAAGAATAGCATCTTTGATACAGAACTAATTTATTCTGCCATTTACAGGAGCTGAAGAACCCATCTACAACAACACTAATGTTGCTGAAACGATTTCTTGAGGCTGGCAACGACACATCACTCACGGACCGCTTCAAGGTCATTGCGCAAGTAACTAATCAAGACGAATGCGGACTCACTGGTATGGCCAAGAAGTTGCTGACGAGCCACAACGCAACACCAGTATTAACACGGCCTCAGCATCGCGTCTATCACTTTAAGGATGGCACCACGGAATTGGTTGTTGATATTCACGCATTTTCGTACATAGCGCGTCGTGGCATTCATTTGCTACTTGACAAGACGTCACGTCTTGTGATTGACGTTGCCTTTGTGATTCAGGGCGAGACAGAGGACGAGCTACCCGAGCAGGTACTTGGGTGTTGTCGCCTTGACCACGTCAACGTACAGAAGGCTAAAAACTTGCCGTAACAGCAACACTTTCGTGTATAGTACAAGTCGAAAGGCTAGTGTCTAAGCGTTTTAAATGCAAGTAGAGTTTTGATTAAGAAAGGTCAGTACTTATGGTTATGCATCAATTCACTTGGAAGTTATCAGCCCCGAAAGATGGTTGATAGAAAAGTGTAATCGTCATTCCTTTCCTCAAGTATAAAAAAAGTAGTTACATCAATATGTGGAGATGCTCAGAGTCATATACTCAACAACAAAGGCTACTACCCCCTGGGTTCAGAAACTCTAGTCTGAAAATTGAAGATTGAATCATCATTGCATCGGTGAGTTTGACTCGTGACTTGTCAGAAGTAGAGCTAGAAGGAAAATGGATGTTACAATCAAGTTGGTTTTTGCTGAGCCAGTCATTTAAAGTTCTCGCTTTCGGGTGGACCACACCACAGGTTAAATTTGTAGTATGATAAGAATTGTAGCAATACTATTAACTGTTGCAAAGACTTGCATTCCGAATGGCTACGGATCTACCTATTCACCACCACTCGAATTCGTTTTGGTCCGAACCACAGTTTGTTGTGCGACTTGCAGTATTGGTATTAAATACACCTTGCAATTCATGGTGTATCACTAAAGATGGCGATGGATTGCACAGCTCCACACTCTTTTGGAATTTGTGGAGCAATGCTCAGCTCACCGTATGTGCAGACGGAGGCGCTAACCGACTTTACGACCGCAGCGTGGCTCTAAATGTGCACCACCAAGTAGCTCCGCTGTATATAAAAGGTGACTTGGACTCCTTGCGCTCAGATGTACGCGATTTTTTCGAGGCCAAAGGAACGACAGTGTTGAGAGATTCAGACCAGAATTCGAATGATCTGGACAAGTGTCTGCAATTAATTTACCAGCAACAGACAGAATCGGATGATCGAAAATTTTCGGTCATGATTTTTGGTGCTATGGGGGGAAGGTTTGATCAAGAAATGCAAAACATTAATGCGCTTTTCAAGTGGAAAGACAAGTTTGAGCAGATGGTCTTACTATCAGATGACACTACGGCAAGGCTCCTTGAACCAAACGTTCGACATATAATCACACCAAATTTTCGCTTTGAAACCCGAACATGTGGATTAATTCCAATAGCAGGGACGTGTAAGGATATCACGACGTCTGGACTCAAATGGAATTTAAGCTCCGGAATGGTCACAGGCTTTGGGGAACTGATCAGTAGTTCCAATTATGTTGATGACCTGTGCGAGCAAGTAGAAGTGGTGGCGTCGCATCCACTCATCTGGACAACTGAGCTTGGAAACTTGTCATAGAATTGGGATCGATCGGCATTGTGCTTAGATGTGTGCTGAGCTTAGGAACTTGTGGTATACTACGGCTAGTATTGATAATTTATGTATTCATATCAATTGTACATTTCTGAAAATTGAAAATTCAAGTTGATAGATCTGTACATATGCGTTACCTCAAAATTTGTTATGACATAAGTATGTGCAGAGCTTGAGATTTCGATTAACAATGCAGTTGCCCTAAACTCGAACAGGTACTTGCCAGATAGTAACGGACAGGCGAAACAATACTCTGTTTTTCATTGGTAGAAAACCTGTCCCATGTTCTTCTTCAAATAACACGAAAACAACCCACAACAAGCCGCGAGGGAAGTCGTCGAGACGGCAAGACGCGGCGCAAGCAGCTTCTTTAGGCAAATAAAAGATCTTCTACTAGCATCGAATACAAGGTAATATTGTCTGTACTTGCTTACAACTTTTCAGCGTTGTAGACTCTGGTGAGCTGCCCAAATATTCGATACTAACACTTTTGTTCATGTGTATTACAGCGTGACATATTATATATTTTCACAGATAGATTCTTTATTTCTGCTTTGGATCTTTGCTTTGCCAATCGAAATCATACAATGCAATTTTTTAAGCACTTGACTGATCCAGCGCTCAAGCGGCTGTACAAATTTGTACTCAAGCGCATGATTGGCCGTTTCTTGGCGGCGGATGAACTAGATCTGGACCAATTAGATGTGCATCTTCGCTCTGGACGATTAGAGCTTTGTGACTTGCTGCTCAATGCTGAAGTTTTGAATGCTGAACTGTGCGAGGCGTATGGACTGCCATTTAAGGTAAAAAAAGGGTATTTGGGCTCCGTTCGCGTCGCAATCTCTTACACCAACATCATGAGTGAAAGCTGTTTGGTGGAAATTGACGATATTGAGATCATTCTAGTGCCTCTTGAGACTGAAATGACTTCGACTCGACAGAAGCGTTCTACCTTAATGGAGAAACAAGAGATAAAGCAAGAAATGCAACAAGAAAAAAAAAGTAAAAAAAGTGCTGAAAATCGTGACGAGATCTCACAGGAAGGACTCGATTTTGTGGCCAGTTGGATCGAGCAAGTCACATCAAAGATTAAAGTTACTTTGTCGAATGTTTGTTTAAGATTGGAGACAGGAGAACAACATAAAGGGCGCGATGTGGCACTGTTGTGTCAATTGCATTGGGCGCAGTTTACAGATGAGTCAGTTGATGAATTGTCAAGTTTTTACGGACGGAACAGCTCTGTGGGATTATTTGGATCGCATACGTTAGATGGAGGCACCCAATCAATGGCTGCTAGTTCTCTCTTTGGTGTAGCACAAAAAGGGATTAAGTTTCGTGGTTTAACCATGGATTTACACTTGAGCAGCGATGAAAGCTCTCAAAAAGATGTCATTGACCGGCGGCGAACAGAGTATTCTGATATGGTATTACATTCGTTTTTGTCAAGTAGCTTAAGCATACAGAACTATTTTCAGGTGAAAATCTCGCATTACGAGGCATTTGAAGCCCCTGCGATTGATGCCGATATGTTTTTCCACTCTATTCGAATTGTGTTGCAGCCTCAATATTTTCCGGAACTTGAAAAAATAGTGAATGCGTTTTCGACGGATCCTGTCAAGTTGACTGCTAGCGAAAATTATACGTCCACATCACTTTTTGAGTCAATTTGTAGTGAGCGCCCTGCATGGCTCACTGGGAGTGAACAAAATGATGTTAATGAGGAGACTGGAGCACTTAATCTGTCGCTCAAGGAATTTGAACGCATTGAAGAACTCTTAAGGCAATATCGACAGACGCAAGAGATACTGAAAAAAGAGCAGCGACGTCGGTATTCAGCAGAAGAAAGTAGTACAGAAAGGCAAGGGATGTTTAGGACGCGAAAGCTATCAGCAGCAGAAAGTGTCGAAAGTGTTGGCTTATCAGAATTAGAAGACGAAGAAGATACTTTTTTTGAGTGTGAAACAGGCCTTGCTAGCTCTGTCGCGCCAAGCGCCTCGCTCAGTTATAGTAAATTGAGCCAGTCTTTGTACGCGTCGGCGAACGAGACGTATAGTAAATGTGATGATCAAACTCACGTAACGTGGTCTACAACGGCTGCGCAGAATCGAGCGGCACGTCGTGTACAGTCGCGATTTAAAGCTCACTTGCTGGAGTGTGAGATTGTGTTTCTTTATGACGACCTTCCTGACGTCGACGAAGAGAACGAAACAGTGGAAGAAGACGATGAATCACTGGCCGAAAACCGTATTCATCGCGCTCCTGTCCAACACACGACATCCTTGCCATCGGTTAATGGTTTAGAGCGCTTGGAACTTTCACTTAAAGACATCATTTGCTCTAGCTTGGTGTATTCACAATACTTCGTTACTGCACTTACTATAGGTAAGGTCACGTTGACCGAAAAGACGCTTCCGCGCATGCTGTTGGACACCAATGACGGGGAGACGGCGATGCTGTCGACGTGTGTTTTGGAGTTTGCTGACACGTCGCCTTTTACCGGTCAAAAAGCTAGTTTATCGAAAAATGTGTCAGCTCAATTACGTATCGATTTCGAGCCGGCATCAGATGACATGACGCCATCGACAATCGCATCGCTTGGAGTGCGCGTGAATGTTCAACCGGTGTTATTTGAATGGGATATGTATCTGCTAGATCGAACACATCGTCTCCTCGCGCTTTTGGAACAAGATACGTCAGCGACGAAGCGAAATGTAGAATTGACAAGCAAGAAAAATCAAGCTCAAGAGTTTGTTAAAGCACTCGATATGACAACAGATTGTGTTCAAATGACGCTGCGATTTCCCATGGTAAACAGCGATCTGATTCGCTTCGGTGTGTCGTCCAAGCGTGGTCTGTGTGAGGATCGAATTGTTCTGTCTATAAAGGGCATGAACCTGGCATCGCATTCATCACAAGCTGGTGTTGATGACGATGAGGGTCGTTCTCCGATGCTTCCTCAGCACAGTAAACGCACTTCGCTGCCGTGGTTGGCTGAGTTTGATGCTTCATTTGACACAATGCAAGTGGCCTTTTTGATTCCAGAGCTGGGCAATCAGCGAAGCCTTCATCTGGAAAAAGTGGTCCTTTTTGATGCTTGCAGTGATGAACGCCTGCAAGACGTTTGCACTCTTAAATTACGACTTCAGACGCCGTCGCGAGACGAAGTGAAAGAGGCAATTACTAGCAAACAAAATCTGTCACAAGATTCAAGTCACAATCCCGATATTTTGTCTGAGGGTAATTTCTCCGATGAAGTTAGTGGAGATGACAACGATGGAGGAAGGGTAGGTTTAAACGGCTGGAACCTTGATGCGCTGGGGCGTGTAGAGTCATTTGAAGCAGCAGCAGCAGAAGCATCCCTCTATTCCATGGAAGTTGGTCTTCCTCGGGCTACTGCAATCTTGTATAAGTCCTCGCTCGACCGAATCATGGTGCTGTTTGACGCGCTCTTGACGATTAATCCAACTGATGTTGACATTCACAATGACGTACTCAATAAGGCTTTACACCGTAACCGTTTGACCCCTAATTTCATGAGTTTCAAGCTCATGCTAGGCGAAGGAGCTATCCAGATCCGCGACTATGTTGCAATCCCTGCTTTGCCTTTTAACGGCGCTAACCCAACTTCAGTCCGTGTGAATCAAAATGTGGCAACTGATCGGCAGAGTGATCTTGAAAAAGTTTTATTCACCTATCATTTCGTTTTTCAGTCATTGAAAATATTCCAAGTATCTCAGTGGATGGGACAATTGGTCTCTCGCGTTCACGTATCAGCTCAGAACACCACATTACTGGAGGAAAATGGCCGCACTAATGCAATTGTGCCAATTTTATACAAGACTCCGTTTGGAGATTCCAAAGCTCCAATCTTTTTCATGGGAGTTGACATCACAGACCAAACAAACGAAATGCGAGAAATGAATGTCGAATTGCACGTCTCGCATCTAACATTACGCTATGATGTGCACTCCAGGTGGATGATGCAACTGCTTGAGATTCTTTTAATTGATTACCCAGTTCCGATCATTCCACTCGATTCGGCAACTTTGTCAAATGAGGAGAGTTTAGTATTTTCTGAATCTATCAAAAATGGAGGAGATTACGATGCAGTGCCCTTAGCAATCGATTCGAAAACTGTTTTTACGAAACTTTTTGTCAAATTTTACGACGTTCTGGTCGATTATGCGCCAGTGTCGCTAACGTCACGGATGATTCTTTTGTTGGGCAAAGTTGACGTCTATTCCAATGTTGTCACAGGTGCTATTATGCAAGGCTACAAAATATCAATTGGTGATTTGGAGCTTTTTATGACGCATGCGCATGCAGGCTACGAGGAAATCGATCAAATTCTTCTGGGTAATGAAATCTTTTTGCAGAACAATGCTAAAAGCTCGATGAAGAAGGCAGTCAAATTTGCCGCAACATATGCTGTTAGTAGGGAGACATTAGGTGTTGAGTGTCCGTCGCTGTTAAAATTTTTAGAGACGTTTGGCTTCTTGCAGCTTGTTACGATGGATTTTTTGGATATTTTTTTGCGTGTGCTCGTTCAACCGACAGCAATCGAAGCTGCAACTGCATCACGGGATCAACTGGAGCAGAAATTGTCAGCTGCGGCGGCATCACCAGAGTTGTCAGTGGAGCTTAACTTAGGCACCGCTAATATTTATGCGTGTTTTGACTCGTTCAATACGTTGATCGAGCTGCTGTCGGTGTGGACCGATCAGCTTGCAATCAAACCAGAGCCACAAGATACAACTGCCTATGTAGGTATGGATGGAACGGGTGACATCTCCAGTGTATCAGTGGTCACCAACTTAAATCATCTTCCTGCCAGTAGTGCATGGACAAATGGTTTAACTCTTTCAGAGCGATCTAATACACAAGGATTCTCAACCTCGAGTAGTGTTTGTAGCGAACGACTCAGCATTGATAACAGCGAAAAGCTGAGACGGGATTCTTTCAATATTATGGAGCAAATCGATCAAGACGCATTTGGTAGCGGAAAGACGATTTTTCCTGGCAAGATTGTTGCTACAGACACTGAAGCGCGTTTATTACGAACTCGAATGAATTTGATTCAGAAAGAGAAGGAGCGGATCGTACAGGGGCTTGATAATGAGCTGTCCGCTTCTGAGTTACGACTACGCTATCAATTAGAGGAACGACGAAAGTCGGTGATATCCGTCCCCATGAGCGAGCTTGTGATTGAAGACTATTATGCTCACAATCGCTCATTTGGCGAGTTTGATGGCGAGCCAGCTGGAGCTTTTTTGATGGAACCCCACGAAAATGCAGATCAAGATGATCCGTGGTTTGCGTCAAGCTCACATCCGCCAAGTCCTTCACAGTCTCCAGAGCAGACAGCAATGCCGTATAAGGAAGAAACAGTGCGGTGGCTTCCACTTGACGGAGCCCGCATAGATTCTGGAATTAGAGGATCTACAAGTCCTATGTGTCGACCGTACGCTTCTGTGTTCGAGGCTATGGAAGACAAGGCGCCGATTCCCATGTCTGTACAGTTAACGCATAACAATGACAGACTGAATGATTACGAAGACAATGAAGTAGACGAATTTGAAGCCAATAAGGCTTCATGTGGCGCATTTCCGGCGGCATCGAAAAATTTGTGGAAAATGCAGAGAAGGCATCACGACGTGGAAATGAGCGAAGGACAGACCGAAGAGACGGCCTCATCGTTTTCACATCAATTGGATCTGATAGAGGGTAGCAGTGTGACTGAGGCAGACAGTGAAGGTATGGATGGCAGGAATGCTAATACTGGGCACCCAACATCCATGTCTATGTCCTTTATCGACACAGGGGGAGACGAAGGTAAAGAAGTCAAATTGGAATTTGATTTGGATCAAGATCTTCAGTCGCAAATTAATCAAATGCTAAACGTGGATTTAAATGATGGCTACGAATTTAATGGTGATGAGAGTGATCAAGTGCGAGACGAGCAACGATCGAATGCTTCTTTCTCAGTACGAAAGATGTCCTTTTCCTCGAATGGTAGCCATCCTGGTGCTCCCACGTCGTCGATAGGTCAACCTTCGATGTCTCCGCCAGACCAGCCAACAGCACGCTGGTTCTATGACGAACAACGCTCGGACGATGGAAGTTTGCCGAATTTCGGCCCACCGTCGCGAATTTACCCACACCATGTTGAAATTCCGGTCGGTGGCTCAGCATCATCGTTATCATTTGGTGAAAAAGAGTGCAATGATGCCATACGATCGATTGCTCGGGAGAATGCTATGCGCAAAGTAGAAGCAACTCCGCCGATCGTTATTCAGCACGTTTTGCTGCGAAATTTCAACATTTGCATGCGATTTTTTGGCGGGTTCGACTGGACTCGTGATGCAAGCGAAGCAGTGAAGCTTTGCTCATTTAGAGAGACTGATGCTGCAAAACAGTCAAAGGATAAAAAAATTGACAGTGCAACTGCAAAGGAAAAACTTTTAGACGCTTTATTAGACGACTATGTTCCGTCCGGTGGTGGAGATCTCTTTGAAATCGATAGCAGCTCCGCCTTTTTTGGAGGAGCGAAGAGCGCACCGACAACGTCATTTATGACGCGCGACCCGGCAATGAGGTCAAGGGCAGCATCAAGTGACTTTATTCTCTCTCGTAAGCGTGCATTAAACAAAAGTGGACGGAAGACCGAGGAAATGCTCGAGTTGGTTGTCACTCGCATCCAGTTTCGTGTGGATATGTTTAATAAAGCCGAGACGCAGTCGTTGGCGTCTCATTCCTTTATAGCGCTAGGTGATCTCGAGCTTCTTGACTATATTTCCACATCCCAAATTCGCAAGATTATCTGCTACTGGAAATCAGAAGCAACTCACCCACGTGAAAGTGGTAGTTCCATGGCACAAATGCAGTTAATTACTGTTCGACCGGGACCAAATCTATGCGAGGAGCACCGTCTGAAAGCGCGTTTGTTGCCGTTACGTATTAATCTTGATCAGGAAGTTGTTAAGTTTCTACGGCAATTTGTGCCACCCAAAGAGATACCGACCCAATGTCAGCACCAACAGAGTATGGCCAACCTGGATGAGACGGAAGATGATGACAGCTCGTCGACACATGAGGATGGGAGGGAAATGATGGTAATGGGAGACACTGCAGCAACGAAGAGTGTGGGGGCATGGTTTTTTCAAAGTATCGACATAAAGCCATGCAAAATTAAAATTGATTATCGTCCAAACCATATCGACTTTGCTGCGTTGCGGGCTGGTGACTATCTCGAAGTGATCAACTTATTTGTTCTAGAAGGCATGGAGCTGGTTCTTCGGCGCGTACAAATGAGTGGACTAGACGGGTGGGTAGCTCTGGGAGAAGCAGTTTTGATATCTTGGGTGCAAGACATTTCACGTCGCCAGATTCACAAGTGTGTGGCTAGTGTGTCGATGCCTCCACTACGTCCGTTTGTCAACATTGGCGCTGGTGCTGCCGACTTGATTTTGCTCCCGTTGGAGCACTATGGACGGGACCGCCGCTTTGTACGGGGCCTTAAAAAAGGAGCTTCAAGTTTTCTCAAGTCGGTGACAATTGAAACATTAACAACAGTATCCAAGGTGGCACAAGGCACGCAGGCATTGCTTGAACACGCAGATGGCGTTGTGTCGTCATCTTCTGAACTGCGTCGCAAGCATCTCAAATACCGCCAAGCCGGTAGTCGCATCGCACGGAATTCGCGCCGAATGGGTGGGGGTGGTATTCGCAATACCCAAGATGCGGGCGGAGGGATTGGTGGCCGCCAATATTTGATTCAGCAACCAGCGAGCGCTTCTGAAGGATTTGGTCAAGCGTACGACTCACTAGCGCGTGAGCTGCACGTGGCTGCAAAGACTATTGTGGCTGTGCCGTTAGTCGAGTACAGGAAAACGGGATCACAGGGCTATGTAAGATCAGTTATTCGTGCCGTACCAGTGGCAGTACTGCGTCCCATGATTGGTGCATCTGAAGCCGTGGCAAAGGCGCTCATCGGCGTGCGCAACGCTGTAGATCCGGAAATGAAGGAGGATATTGAGAACAAGTTTAAGGACTTTCGAGCTAATTAAGTGGACTGTGTGATGTTATTCGTTGTCAAGCATAATAAATCTATTTTTTTGATAGTGAGTTTTGTTTTGTAATAAATTTTTAATCGATACGTTTAGCTATGCTTGCAAGGTTACGATGTGACGCCATGATGCTCCGATACCAGAAAGACTCGACCTCCGCGAAATTATTATTGAACCCAACGCCTACTTTTGTAGACGCTGAGTCCAGTTCATGTACCAGATCCCGTTTGAGGTAAAACGCTTTGTTTTACTGACTTGCGGTAGACACACGTATCTGCATCAAATGTCGTGTACGACATAACCGAATTCGCCATGGCTTGAAGTCATTATTTCTGGATGAGCTCGAGTTCCTGGCCAGACAAAGCTGCCATGCGTACTCGCGATACTGTAATGTTGTCTTAAACTCGAATATGACTAGGAGAAAGAGCTATGCGATTAGAAGAGTATTGATTCTTCATGTGTTTTTTTTACCTTACAGCTGTCACGATAACAGCAAATCCACCCCCTTAACTTGTGCTCGAATCTAGAGCAGCCTTCGCTGCTTTAATCGCTAATTTGGTGTATCGAAAATTAGTAACTCTTGTGACAACTGCATGAGCGATGTACTCCTCATTCCTAACGCTGGAAGGACACGTACTTTCGATAAAGCAAATCGCTCGTTAGGCATCATCAATGCTGGTATGATGTTTAACAAGATGTTTTGCACTTACTGACAGACTCTTGATAGTCTCATTTAACCATTTAAGTCTATGTATACACGATAAAGCTCTTAGACGCACCCCAAGTTCACAGCCAAGTATTGCGATTGATCATACCTTGAGAGGAGCCAGAATAAACTTTTCAGCTTGGTGATAGTCGCTAATAAGTTTATATGAATCGATATGACAGGATATGTAAAGATGATGGTTGCCATGTGTATAGTCTTCGAAATTTAACGTCCTATCGCTTTCTGCCTTTTTCTTAGTCACTTAATCAGTGTATTTTAAAAAACGATACTGCAAAAAAACGTACTTGCTCCCACTATACCACAGATGTGTCCAGCACTCTGACTTCTTCTTCATTCACCACATTGACATCGGCAAGTACTGCACACTTTGTCATTTTTGACGACAATGAGGGCAGTAGCTGCCGTGTCCACTGACGATCTGGTCAACAGTCTTCTTGACTCTGTGACCGCTGGATCCTCTTCGTCGACACCCTCCACTAACGCGACAGACTTGACCTCGATCAGAAATTCGACATCACCATCATTCAATGCTGCATTTTCGTCTACTTCTCAAAGTGCGCCCTCCTCGGCCAGCAGTGACACCGAATCGTCTTCTTCCACAGATGCTCCAGAAGTAATCAGCTTGATCACACCTGCACCCGCATTAAACGATGGCTCCTTGTTTATTTCAGACAATTCAGAGGCAAATGATCTGAACAAATCAAGCGGCAATGGACGCGGCAACACCGGTCTCTCTATTGGTATATCCTTAGGCGTCTTGGCGATCATGGTAGCTGCACTGTTATATTTTAAGTCGCGTAGGAGACATGCCCAGAAGGAGCACGAGTCGGCTGCTGTCCCAGCAACAGGAAATACACCTATGACCGTGCCGTCAGACCGAGGTTTCAAGCGAGAACGGGATCTGGGAATACCTGAAATGTCAATTGAACTTGCACCTGGCGAGTTGGGAATGTCTAAGGGTTTTGACACAAGCTACGCTAGCTCGTCACGATCCAGTGTCGCAAGTCAGCACTACAATCTCAGCCTTGCTAGTAGCTGTAGCGGCTTGTTCAATACGAAAGGAGGCGTAAGTCCTACAAGTAGTAGCCACAAGCTAACCAGTTACTCATATCAATACCGAGAGTCGGAGGAAAAGGGCAGCGGAAACAACAATCAGTCGACTACGGGCAATTCGACACTCCATTTAACAGGTCTTATTGGCAACGGTGCAACAGCAAGTGGCCGTGGACCGAGCAACTCATCACGTAGCCGTAAACTCTCGGCTCCGGATGAATACGCTGAGCTTATCACTGCAACAAATGCGCAGGCAGAAGTAAACATGAGTGTACATGATCAGTCTTCTCAAGGCATTTACCATAGCTTGACACAGAGCTCAGCCAGTCAGAATGAAATGGATATTAGCATGGGACCGGATGACAGTTTCATAGCCCCGTTACCGCCGAAAGCATTGTCTTCTCGGGTTGCAAAACGTTTGGCTGTGACAGTCGGACGAGCGTCTGAAGAAAGTATGGGTCCGGACTCTCCCATTATTGGACGAACAGATACCGTTTACGACACAATTCCAACTTTAAGTGGCGAGAAAATGTCGGTTTCGGCGCGAAGTTCAGTAGAGAATATGCACTTTATGTCGGCAGCATCATTCATGTCAAAATCTTCCGCGTCGTCGGCATCAACCAGAGACAGTATGACAACATCAGCTTGCAGTTCAGCATACCTTCCATCCAACTCCTTGTTGCAGCAGTTTTCGAGGACTACTGACAGTGACTATGGCGAGGATCTAACGTCTGAGCGTGTGTCAACAGAGTCAACAGAGAGCGCCAACACGGCGCGTTCCGGATCGCTCATTGCACTAAATTTGGACGCTAAGGATAGCAGCGAGATCGCCATTTAAACCATGAGTGACTCGCAAGTGTATGAGTTTCAGTCGTCGTCAAATAATATTTTTTTCATTTTTTGATTTTGGTGCTATAGCGCATGATACAAATTTGCAGTACTACAACACTTTTTATTTCATTGTATTTATGCTGCTTCGTATTCCCGCACTCGTTTTAATTGACGTCGGCTGGACGCAGCGGATCTGCACGGCTTTCGTCTGAATTCTCCGGGTTGTTGTAGTCTACATCGGCAAAAAAGTGTGGCTTACGCTTGCGCGTGCGACGAAGGTGTCCGGGCTGTAGATAATATTGGTCGGGTTCGTCTGGTTTGATAGCCAGACTTCCCACATTATAGCCACGCGAACGGTAGAGAGTCTTGTTGGGAACGTATGGTCCACTCGGACCCAAATGGTTGATGTAAGGTGCATCAGATTTATCAACAATCTCAACTTTTTCCCAATTCTCTGGAAGCTGACCGCCCTCACCGGGTACAGAGTCCGTCATGTGATGCATCCATAGGTGCCAAGGGGGCGGAATGAGCGTGCCTTCCACTTCATCCCACGAGTTCACCTTATACTCCGTCCAGCGGTGCTGACCATACAATTCGGTCGGGTCCTCGTAGTACTTAAATCCGTTCTCGTCTTCTCCTACCAGACGTCCAAATTTGACATCACCTGGATTATAGAGTTTCCACAAAACACCCTCCCATCCGTAGCGTTTCTTAGCTTCCAAGTACTTTTCAAAAACTGTATAAAACGAGCGTGTCTGCGTAGAATTCGTGAGGATAACAGAATGGCGTTGGATTAGACGCCCACCCAACGCAAGCGCCGACTGCCGACAACTGGCCACAACCATAACGTCGATGAAAATTGTTTAGAGCCGCAAACTTCACCCCATGTTCGGCTAAGTGCGAAGAAGTAAACACCCAATCCTAAGGAGTTAGTTCCAATTTAAAAAAATTGTCGTTCTCTGAGTAAAGGAACAAAGTTTGCAGATTGGATGCTTGGGAAGTTTTTACAGAGCAGTTGCTAAGGTTAGAGGTTCCCCGAATCCCAACCACATGACCAGGTGCATACTGTAGTAAGTTTATAGTAGTCATCATACGTGTAACGGGGTTACATGAGAGTGACCCGTCACTCTCCCAAGGGAGCTGTGGTGTG